ATTTTGAGTTGATTTCCAAGTGTTTCCATTTCCCTTTCCGCTTGCTTAACAATAACAGTTGGTACATCTGAGAAGAAAAGTATACCTGTATCATCAGATAGAATGGGTAATGTAATCAAAGCCCGCCATGACTCTCGATTATGTAGTTTCAATAATAATAATCATTTCTGATTTCGTTAGTTGGTTTTCTGTTCCCGTTTGCTCCCTTCTGTTAAGCCCTTTTAAAGCCGAAAATATAATGATGGAAAGCCAAGGATACAAATATTCATATAGATTGATAGACGGCAGATAAGCAGTAAGTAGATAGATAGCATTTACTTTTCGTATATGTACAGGTGTTCCTTTATCCGACTCGGGGCTATTTTAATATATAAAACAGAATACCACCCAACCTTTGCCCTGGCGGTAACTTACCAAACTCCATAAAACGTCGCAAAACCAAGGACCAGCAAAAGAAAGAAGAAAGACATCTTAATTTTTCAAAATCAAGTCTCCTCGAGCTGAGTGGACTCGCTCGCTCGCTCGCTCACTCATCATCAATTAGCCTCTTACTCTCCCACGACTTCCGAGCCCCTTCCATCAACGCCTCAAAATTTCCACTATTTTCACACATGGCCCTAAATATTCCACCCTTCCTCTTAATAAGTTGCCACGGCCCGTCATACTCTACAACCTCCCCACGATCCAGCACAAGCACCTTATCATAGTCGATGATTGTCTGCAGTCTGTGCGCGATAGTGATAATGGTGTTATCTTTCAGTTCGCGGAGGGTATCTTGGATCTTGGCGTCGGTGGCATAGTCTATGGATGCGGTCGCTTCGTCCATCATGAGCACTTTGGGCGACTTGAGGAGGGCGCGTGCTAGGCAGAGGAGCTGGCGTTGACCCTGGGATAGGTTCGAGCCAGATTCGGAGATTGGTGAGTAGATGTTTAGGAAAATGTTTTTGTTGTCGGGGAAGCGAGAGGTGAGGTCTGGGTCGCTGGAGTTACTGTTGTTATCCACATTGGGGTGTGCTGGAGTATTGGAGCCCGAGGCAGAGGCGGATGTTGAGCTGCCTATTAGATGGACGCGGCGGAGCGCAGTGAAGATTTGCTCGTTGGTTAGTAGATTGAAGGGATCGAGGTTGCTACGGATTGTTCCAGTGAAGAGGGTGGGATCTTGAGGGACAATTGTGATTACTTCACGGAGGTCCCTTAGACCAATTTGACCAATGTCGACACCATCAAGGAGGATCCTGCCACTTTCCGCTTCGAGACCGCGAAATAAAGCCAGGGCAAGCGAACTCTTCCCAGCGCCTGTTCTGCCAACGATCCCAACACGTTCGCCAGGCTGCACTGAGAAGGTCACGTTCTTTAAAACTAGATCGAGATCGGGGCGGTAGCGGGTAGAATAATTATCAAATTGCAATGCACCGTGTGTTGGCCAGTCCGCTGGAGGACGACGGTCAGGAATAACTGCTTCAGCCTCTTGCTCAACCTGCATATACTCCTCAATCCGCTCGACAGAATTCATATTTTGCTGGTTCTGCGCGTACAGCCGCACTAACCAGAGGACGTTCTCAGTGAAGGTTACGGCATATGTCAACGCCAGGCCCGCCGCACCAGCATCAATTTGGCCAACGCTCATTACAATTACCGCTGCAGTAAAGAACGACACCAGCGCACCGGTTATATCGACGCGGAACGCCAACCATCGATTGCTACCCCACAGATATAGGTATGGTCGATTGTAGGTATTGATCAAGACATGGTTATCGTGGATGAAGCGCGCACCATCTCCATAGGCACGAATGGTGACGATGCCAGATAATGTTTCTCCAAATTGCTGATAGAGAGGGCTCCTTTGAATAGACTCCAACCGCTTAAGATCACGAGATGAATTCAAATAAATGGCACCTAGCGTAAAGTAAATGGCGGTAATGAACACGGCAGCGATCAGGAACTTGGGCGTGATAACCGAAATAAGGATAACAATCAGAATAACGGAGGCTAAGCAGTGGAGCATTCCTATTGCGGTTGCCGCTACTTCCTGATCGACTGCCTCAAGGTCCTTGGAGAATCGATTCATCAGTCGGCCTAGCGGCGTGGAGTCAAAGAACTTAAACTTCGCATGGGTCACGGCGTTTAGCAATCGCTCGTGGATCCTCCACGATGCATGCAGCGAACCCCCGAAGAGAATCAATTCCCTCACAAGTACTGTAAAGATGTAAGAGAATGCCAGTACTGCATATACCCCCAAATAGTAATATGGATTTACATCGTCGCGGAAGGGGCTGTCGTTATCTGTAAGCTGCATCTCAGGTGCTCTCCACGAGAACGAGCGGGGAATGTCCGCAGGAACCAACGTTGGAAGTCTGAAGTTAGACAAAGCAGCTTTGTTTCCTACGTCGCTAATGGAGACCTTCTTCATTGGGTACGCGTTTGCCCATTCTCGAATCCAGATATTAGTGGCTAATGATCCTACTTGCTGTGCGCCAAAGGCTAGAAGGGCGAAAAACCAGAAATACCACGGACCCATGGCCCGAAGATACATGATAATTGTGGAGAACTTGACGCTGCCAACAATCTTTTCTTCCCTGAGAGGCACGGCGACAGCTGGCCCCTTTTTCTTGTTATACATTACATCGGCTCCGTTAGCAGCTCCGTTGGTGGTTCCACTAGCAGAGGTTGTCCCGTTTTCCCATCCAGTTTTCACTGTCTCAATGCTTGATAGAGAGTGCGTTCGAGATTTCGATGAGACAGAAGCAGGTCGGGATTGAAGAATTTCATCGCCAAGAATTCCAGAAGCAACGACCTCCTGTGTCGTTCCCTGTGCTGTAATTCTACCGTTATCAAGAACGACGAGGAATGCGGCGTTGGGAACGACAAGCGAGATATTGTGTGAGACAAGGATGCAGGTACGGTTTTGCATCAAGGGACCCATAATGGCCTCCCTAAAAATGTGCTTTGCTGTGTGTGAGTCGACCGCACTAAGACAGTCATCGAGCAACAGATGTCGGGCTTTGCTGTACATGCCACGAGCCAAGGATATCCGTTGTTTCTGTCCGCCAGAAAGACTTATGCCTTTCTCCCCCACCAGGGTTTGATCGCCAGCATCTAAGATTTCCAGATCTCTACCCAAGCCACAGGCCTTTATTACAGCCTCATACCGACCTTGATCAAATGGCGACGCGAACAGGATGTTATCCTTGATCGTGGCATTGACTAACCATGCTTCCTGCGCACAGTAAGCAACGCTGTCAGTAAGACCTGTTGCCGGGTCAACGCGCAAATCCGCTCGATCACTCGTTCCACCAGGGAGAAACACTGATCCTTTGAGGAGCGTCATCTCTCCCAAAAGTGCCATTAGCAACGACGTTTTCCCTGAACCTGTCGGTCCGGCAATAACGTTGAGTTGGCCAATGCGAAACGAAACATCCATGTTGATGAGACAGAATGATTCGCCAGAGTCGTTATCCTGCGAGCATAATGGCCGCGTCGTGGAGCTTGGGAGGGAAGGTCCCCACGAAAGGGTGGCATTTTCCAAAGCGATTCTAGGGGCTGATTCCGAATGCTTGTCTGAGCGCAACTGAGTATATTTTTCGGTTTCCTCCTCGTTCAAGAAATTTTCCACGCGGTCGATGGAGGCCTTGGATTCCTGGACATGAGCGATCATGTCTGCCAACTGGTCCAAAGGTATTCGGAGGAGCGAGAAAGTGGATAAAGCAGGGAATGCTACTGAAGGAACCAGCTTCTTGCCTTCAACTATGGTGTACAGGAAAAATGAAATCAGCGTGATCAGTATCGGCGTTCCATACCAAACTGTGGCGGCACAGGCCCACAGCGTATATCGCCGACGGAGATTCTTCAACTCAGCCTTCCGCTTCTCGTTAACTATATCTTCAAACCTCTGTTCCCATGCAAAATATTTGATAATACGTATGTTTTGTAGGACCTCATTGGTCGAGTGAATACGGGCATCAGTTCCCGCGAGAATCTCGCGTTGAAGCACCCTGAACCGCGATGCGATATAAAGATTCAGCGGTAACATAAGAGTCATTACGACGATTCCAGCCAAGGAACTAAAGCCTAGAATTTTGTATAAGATGTAAATGGCAATAGCCGTCTGCACCGGGAAACTTGCCCAGAGGTAGTGCAGGTATGCGCAGATTTCACTAACTTTGAAGGAATCAATTGCCATCAAATTGATAATTTTACCAATATTGGCTTGTGCGTCTGGTTCGTCCGGTTTTGGTTGCTCACTGCTTTCGGTGTTAGGGTCTGCCGGCTTATTATTCCAACCCAACGAGAATATTTTCTTCTTTTTCGTCAGTTTCTGAGATTTTCCCTCGTCTTTCGAGGTTTTCGTATTTGCACCAGCTTTACGCCGTAACGCCTTGGCATATAGCTCGCCGATGATGATGGCGCGCAACTTAACACTCAACTTGCGTCCTATCCAAAGTGCTTGGCCATCTGCAACGCCTTGAACGGTCGCACAGACAAATAAGAGACTGACGTAGAGCCAAGCAGCATTCTTAGGAGTGTTCTCAGGATCTTGAAGGTATTCCAAAATGAGTTTGAGCAGCCAAGTCGGCATAAAGGAAAAGAAACTGGAGAAGATGGTCCATGCTCCCTGGATGAGAAGCGTACGATCAAAATAACGCAGTAGGCTCCAAGCTAGAGAAGAAGTTCGTCTAGCCTGGCGGAAATCCGCGAGAACAGCAGCAGCTTGGTAGCTTGGGAGCAGATTCCAGACATCCGGCATCTCAAGGGATTTCCGAAAACCTTGCCAGACTAACGGATCTAGCCATGCGAATGAAGCCAAGGCTAGCAGACTCGCAAACTGCTCTCGAGGCGGGGGGATTCCATCTTCATGCCGAACGAGGAGGGTCTGGTTTCCCTTGCGGGTTGTGGTAGTCAAGAGAAGAAGGAAGGAGGATAGCAAGAAGTCGATGATCGTCAGAGTATGGTTCGGGGTTGGGTGGATCAAGACGGATCGAAATACCATGACGGTGCATAACCATTGAAAGGAATATAATGACGCAGTGTGATTCCATAACTTTGGGATGGTACAGCGTTCGGATGTCGAGAGGACCAACCTGGCAATCACCAGCATCAACATATAGGCCCACGAAATCAACCTTCCAATCGTTGAGCTCGTTTCATTCAAAGCTCCCGAAGGTGTTGCGAGGCTCTTGACGGAAACTCCCAGTTCCCCGACAAGCGCCACAATCTCCAATATGGTTACAACATTCTTCCACCGCGGCCGGTTCTGCTCAATGGTTATAGGTGTTGTAAGGCTAAGGGCCTTATGTAGCATCAAATCGCTCTCCGCATCCTCAACATCCTCTCCATCATTCTCATCTTCTATATCATTGTACTCAACAACGGTGGTCGGAATGGGTTTGTAACCATAGCGGGCACAAGGCAGACGAACATTATGCCGGAGGACGTGAGAAACTATCAATAATAGTGACAAAGCACATGCCGTAAGCGGGAATATCAATTTAAGAAACCTGTTTGAGTAAGGATGAGAACATCAGCAAGCAGAATACAAAAATGGAATGCGAAAGAGTTTTGGGGAACAGACCTCTGCTGAAAACACAGGCTAAGGTCATCAACGACCCAGACGGGACCTTCACAGCCCTGACGCATGGCGTATATAAAAACCCAACTCCAATCAGTCCCGAGAATGACGGAGGGAAAGGAGGGAAAAAAATAAAAGGGAGGCAATAAAAAGCTTCAAATCAGTGAAAAAAAAAAAAAAATAAATAAATAAATAAATAAAAAATAAAAATAAAAATAAAAATATATAAATGCTATTCAGAGACGAACGAGAAGTAAAGTAGCAATTTTCCAAGCCAGCGGATGGCGAACAATGAATCAATCTAATGAGAAGAC